CGGAACTTGAGCAGACTCGGAGAGAACTGAAGCTCCTCCCAGGGACGAGATACTTGCTTTATGGATCTTAGAAGCGCTTACAACTTGGCTCCTGGGATGAGAATATTGTGTCACAGCGGGGTTAGGAGATCCACAGCCAATTTCTGCCTACTTTCCCATTGTAGTTCCCAACATGGAAAGCCATGGCCTTGTTGATTGGTGAGTGTGCTGTACAGTATTTGAACTTGGAATTTCAGCCACTTGGGTTTTGTCAGTTTGATTGTTTTATCCCTGAACATTGATTTTTGTTCAGACCGACCGCTGAATAGGAAACTCACCATACAAGTTGTGTCTTTTTTTGAAGTGCTTTGAAGAGCCCATATAAATAGACACAGAGAAAACTGGAATAACAAGAGCACTGCAGCTCAGACATCTGTGTGGATATATTTTGAAAAACCTGGGAAGGGAACTCTAGCAAATTACTGAACACAGGTTCTTGAAACTGGTTTCTGTCATCATGACAGCCAAAAGTGATGGGTTTTAAAGATTCATGTGACAATTAAACTGCCATTACCCTTCGCCTTTAAAGAAAAAAAGAGGTATATGTTCTGGCCTGCAGTGATTTTCAGTGCGGCTGTATCCATCACCTGCCCTGTGCGCTGGGCTGTGCAGAGTCCAGTCCGGTGAGAACGCTTGACAGGTGCTATGGTGGCTCTGTCTGCAGGGTGTTGAGGAAGTTAGGAAAGGCATGGCAGATGAGGGATAGGCAACTGCTGGTGAGAAAGAGCTCGCCGCCTAGCCTCCGCATTAGAGGAGTGGTACCTGCCTTCCTGGTGTCAGACACACGCGTGGGCCGGCTTCAGAAAATGCCACTTCCTTGGAATATGAGAACAAACGGGAATATTTTCCCTTGATAGTTTCTGTTGCCATCCCTTGACTCGACTTGTGACTTAATAATTTAATTAGCGCACTCTTCCTATGGAAATTTGTGGCTTAAAGTATAACATTTGAAAATGTTATTTGCTGTTCTTATTTGAAGCATAGTTGACTGATCTGAAATGTGATCATACAGCGAAAAGCCCATGAAGAGGAGGCAGAGGGTTGTCATACTAATTAACATCCTTTAAGTTTATATTTGATAGATTCCAGGTCTGTGCTAATTGCATCACATCCATTATTATTGTCTGTCCAAGGATAGATAGTGTGTCTCTTCAAGTCATTATTTTCCTTCTGACTTGTCCAGTGCTTAGTAGGAGTTCAATGGATATATATTGAATTAATTTTTAGAAAGGCTTAAATGAGTAGAATCCCAAAACAACCCTGTGAGGCAAATACTGTTGTGTTTGCCATATAGCATAGTGAATTGTTATCAACTGATGTGTCACAAAGTGACCCTTTCTGCTTTGATTCTTCAGATAAACATTTAGTGTATGTTTATATATGGCAGGCATCGGGCTGGAAAATAACACAAGCTCCAGACCTACATAAAGTAGTGCTGCTTTTTTACTGGCCTGAGAATCACAAGGCTGTCTTTCTCTGTTTTTGAAGATTTTTTTTTTTCTTGGAAAGGCAGATTTACAGAGAAGGAGAGACAGAAAAATCTTCTTTTCATTTGTTCACTCCAGGTGGCCACAACAGCCAGAGCTGAGCTGATCCGAAGCCAGGAGCTTCCAGATCTCCCACATGGTGCAGGGCCTCAAGGCTTTCCCAGGCCACAGGCAGGGAGCTGGATGGGAAGCGGGAGCAGCTGGGATATAACCAGCGCCCATAAGGGATTCCAGCCAATGCAAGGCGAGGACTTTAGACACTAGACAACCGTGCTGGGTCCCAAGCCTTTCTCTTTTAAAATATAGAAATTGGTCTACCCTTTCTACACACATCACCTTAAAAAAATGAGCAAATCTTCTCTTTGTCCTTTTTGTAGTACCAACATCATGAGTTTTTCTCAAATTTCTGATTACAACATAGAATGCGATCTTTCCAAGCTCTGTGCACTATGGGATTCAAGAATGCATCTTCACTGTTGTACACTAGTGTGCCCAGTTGCCATGCACAAGCCTTCAGTAGAAGCTGCAGCATGAAGGTGCATAAAGGACTGTGTGAGCAATGCCATTTGCATACTACTGAGTATTCCAATAGAAATACAGGTGATCCCAGGTTACCTGAGTTGTGGGAATATTTCCCAATCTCCCAAAGCACAGGAAGATAGGGAACCCAGAAAGTTAGTTTGGCATGCGTTGTAACCTGTTGGATAGCCTTTTAAGTTATGTCTTGTTTAGGCTAATGTTTACATTAACCAGAGATTCCTAACTACATAATGGTTGACAGAGTAGAAGATATTCAAAAAACTCAGGGGGCGAGAGCCTACCCATTTAGGGTTAAGCTAGGGCAGGGTTATAATGAACTATATGTAGCACTATTACATATGGGCTCCAGTTTTATAAAAATATTTCAGACGTTTTGTTCACATAAACTGTGAGTCCCCCAGCCCACATGCTCCTGGCATTGGGAAGCACACGTATTGCAATGATATGTGCAGGTAGCCATCCTGTGGATAGGTTAGCAAGCTTCCTTTAGGCAGAGGTGGTCTAACCATCCTTGTATCCTTTATCCCAGTGAGTCCTGTAGCACATGTGGAATAAAAAGCAAATGATAGCTCATATAGCTGTGGGCAGACTGAAGTAAGTGAATACTTGTCACAAAAGCTCAAGTTTTGTCCTCTAAGAAGGAGGACCTGTACTGTGAACAATTCTTACATAAGGTCCTTGGAGCATTAAATTAAAAATAATCATTGTGTTCCAAAAAAATTGAAATTCATGCAGTGGATCTTTAAAAAGTTTAAGGAAAAGTGCATATTAAGAAAAATGTGAAATATTTTAATATATATTAAATACATTGAAATAGATATACAAATTAGGTGAATTTCAAAATATTTGGGAACCAATAAGCTTAACTTGCATTTTTCTTCTCTTTAAGCTTTTTGAAGTACCCTGGTATATGCTTTTATATTAACACTTAAGAAACTGTCAGAAAGTCTAGCTAAAGATGAATAATTTTTTTTTTAAATTGGACCAAAGTGGGAGAACACCAACTGTCATCCATTTGCAGAATCACCATTATCTATCAGCAATCTTAGTAGTTTTATTAGTGTCTTACCTTATTGATCCATTATTACAGTATGGTAAGTGAGATTGGAGCTGAAAGATTGTTAACTGGATCAAGTAATCTCACTCTGGCTTTGGCAACCTTGCTGAGTGTCTTTTTGCACTGTGGACTGGGGAGGCTCTTAGTGAAATTGCCAGCTATTGGATTAATGGCAGAGTCAGGAACACATTAAGAATGTCTTTTTAGGGAAATAAAAGGTGAAAATGAGTATAAAGATGAAAGTGTCAGTGTTCTCGCCACAGTACCTTGTAGGAAAGATAGCTGTGTTTCCTATAAATAATACAGTTCCAGCTATCCTCCATTCGAATTCCTTCAGCGAGCCCTCAGATGTATGTTTATAGAAAGGGGTACATGATAACCAAAAAGAGCTCTATCAGAAGATGTAAAATTACTCCTGTCTCCATACGTTTTATTATTTCCCCTACAAATTCAGCCTTCTATAAACTCTTTCCCCTAAGAGCACCTGAGGTCTGAAATGGAAGATTGCTTATTTTTACATGTATGATGATGGGTGGATTGGTGTTATAATGTCTGGTTATTTCTAAGATTCTATAGGAAAATATTTAGCTATAAGAGAGTATGGGTATTATGATTTAAAAAAAAAAGCAAAAAATAATGCCACTGAAATTACCCACGACCAAAATTTATTGGGAATAAAACATTTCCTGTTGAAAATGACTTTGAAAAAAACTTTCTCCCAGTAATACACTGAAATCATTTTATTTTTCATTTTTATATGTTAAACGCATCAGTGTTTTCAAGGCTAGAATAAAGAAAAGTGACAATGTGTTATTTTCTGTGGTATCCTGGAAATATTTAGTAGGCAAGAAATGTCTATGTTTAAAAATTTGTATGATCCGTTTAACATTCAGAACTGAAGCTTTACTGTAGAAGAAGCCAACAGTAAGGTTCTAGAATGTTCTTCTTGCTGTGTGAATAAGTTATTTCTTCTCACATGCGGAGATGTGTAACCTTCGTACGGTTTTGCACACCTCTGTTGAAGTCCAGGTAGATTGGAAAGTGCCAATGATATTTCTTAAACTTGCATGTACATATGGAATCTTGGTAAAATCTAGACACCTAGGTTTGGGCTCAGACCTAAGATTCTCTTTGTTTTCTTTTAAAAGATTTATTTGTTTGAAAGCATTAGAGAGAGAGAGAGACAGAGACATCTTCTGTGTACTGGTTTCCTTCCAGAAGGCCGCAGTGACCAGGAGCTTCATGTCAGTCTCTGTCCTGCCTCTTTCCCTAGGCCATTAACAGGGAGCTGGATGGGAAGTATGGCATCTGGGACATGAACCAATGGCCAGATGGCATGCTTGTGCCACAGGCGGCTTAGCTGGCTATGCCACAGCACTGGCCCCAGTGTCCACTGTTTCTGTCCAGTGTCTAGGTGATGCCCATGTTACTAATCCCCCGTGCATACTTTGGGCAGCAAGGTTGTAGAGTTCAGTCACCAAACCAGGAAGTAGTAGGTGTTTTTAAAATATATCAAAGTCATCTTCAAAAGTCTGGATTTATTGGAGTTAGAGAAAGTTTGTCAGCCTAGGAATAGATGACATTGATGGAGATTTGATAAATGTTTAGCACAAAATCTGTGGCTTGATAGCTTTTCCTGGTCTCAGTGGACTATTAGCTCTCGACTTAAGTCAGTGACTCATGGTGTGTGTAATGAGTTTTGAGTAGTCAGAGCTTTAGGCTGAAGAGTGAAACAAATGTGTTAGTACTCACTTGATTCCAAAAATCTATGGTTGGATTTAAAGAAAATACAATGTATGATTCTGTGTTCCAGCTTGTGTTTCTAAGTATTACAAATGTCCTCCCTTCCTCCCCGCCCCCGCCCGGCCTTCATGCAGAGCATGATCTCGTCCATTGTCAACAGTACTTACTATGCAAATGTCTCAGCCGCAAAATGTCAAGAATTTGGAAGGTGGTACAAACATTTCAAGAAGACAAAAGACATGATGGGTAAGCAAAAAACTATTGCACTGGTGGCTACATACCATTACATGTCATTTGGGGTTTTATCAAAGTCACATCTAAAGCCAGGTCTTTTGATTGCCCAATTAGAGATCAATTTAGAATGTTTCTTTGGGGGTGGGGAGTGGGTATGAGCATAATGAGATAATTAAATTCAATAAATGTTTGTGTTTAAATCAGCCAAACTGACTTGGTTGTCAGACATGCAGGAAACCGAGGCGTGAGGAGGGGAGCTGTCAGTTTTGAACATCTCAGTGAAGACCTAACCAAGCCTTGAATAACTAATATTAGCTGTGATTTCTCTCAGAGATAAATCATGCTTTTAAGCTTTCTGTTTTCATTTGAGAGAATTAGAATCTATTTTTACATACAATTTTTAAGGAAATTAAACTGTATTTATAGTTTGCGCAGTGGATCAAGTGATTTTGATGCTTTTACCTCTGGTCTCTATCAAAGAGAGACTCTTGGTGGGCATGCTTTACCAGGAAAAATCATTGCATCATTTCTAAATTCCTAACTCCAAAATAACATTCCATATTAACATATCATTTTAGGTCAATATTTTTTGTTCCATAGGATGCTCATTAAAATCACCTGCTATGTAAAATGACAGTTTAAAGATGTATATTGGATATGAGCATTTTGCAATATGGCATTTTATTCCTGTTTGTTAGTAAAAGCAAACACTGTGATTAAGGTTGATGTTTTAATTTCCATTAATGTTTTCTCTCACATACTTATACCTCCAAATAATGTATTTTACAATAACATAGGAATGCTATGTTTAATATGCATAGCATTATGCCTTGCTTTGCCTGTTTCTGGTTAACTCCATTACATTTATTTAATAACAATAGCAATAACTTTTCCTAAAAAATTTTAAGAGCCAAGAGAACCCAAATTCTGAACATGTTTTAGCTTTTAATATTTGAAGAAAAGCCATTCATCTACCAAAACAGATTGCTAGCCTTTTATAGCTTACGACTATAATGAAGGCCATGTATCATTTTTGGAATAATGGCTTGAACTACAATTGTCTGTGAATGGTCCACTTGGGCTGATATCATGGTAGAAAGTGAAGGTTTCTTCCCTAATTCTTAGTTATATTTTACATATGTTAGTGACAATAGCAATATGGTAAGTTCCTGTAAATACAAAACCTGCATATTTAATGAAAGGAGAAATGATGACTCAGATCAAACTAGAGTCTGCATGAGAAGGGTTGTGTGGTAATGCAGTTTGGAAGGACGGCTGTTTGCAGCTGACTCCATACTCCAGGTGAAGAGCATCAAACCAGGCTCCTCCTCCTAGCAGCAGAGCACTTGCTGCACTTAGAAGCGGACTCTGAGCCAGTCTACCTGAGGAGAAGCATTCATTATAATATCATCATAGTATTGCTGTGTGCTACATGACTCCACTCTTTCCTCACAAAATTTATCTTTGGCTTCTGACGCTAGCAACTGAAAAAAAACAAAAACAAAAAAAAAAATTGGATTTCAGCAACACTGGCCATACAGTCCTTTACTGTCTTCTTAATGGTATTTGCAGAAATACCTCCTGCCCATGATGGTTATACAGTATACTTAGCACAGTATACTGTTACTACTAGTTACTGTATGTCCATTTTTATTTATTGCTTTATGTTCATTGGTTCATTGTTATGTAAAAATTGAACATTGGAGATGTTTTCTGTCATCTTTGATAGTTTTTGCCTACCATAGAAAAGTAAATAGAAAATATTTGTAAATTTTCTTTATTATCATAAGTTTGTTTTCTAGAAGTTATTTGAAAATACTGTGAACAAGTGTATTGTTGGGGTAAAATATAAAATGAATAATAGTTGACCCTAAAACTAGCTGCAAAGAATTTGTGTATAATGGATTTAATGCCTTAAACCCTAACATTTAAAAAAAATGAGATGAAGGTGTTCTTCTAATTTTAAAGTTCATGGAATTGTTCAGAAGAGGAAAACACCCATGCAGCCTGGTGAGTTCCATCTTGAGATTGCTTTGGTTTCCTTGGTTCATTGGTATGCTCTGTGCCTACTATCTCCTCTCATCAATCAAAATTATTAAGAATCCGTATCGGTGTCCACTATTGTTCACTGAACACGATTTTACTTTTTCTCCATTTAGTCGAAATGGATAGTCTTTCTGAACTATCCCAGCAAGGTGCCAACCACGTGAACTTTGGCCAGCAGCCGGTCCCAGGGAACACAGCCGAGCAGCCTCCGTCCCCCGCGCAGCTTTCGCATGGCAGCCAACCCTCTGTCCGGACCCCTCTTCCAAACCTGCATCCTGGGCTCGTTTCCACACCTATTAGTCCTCAGTTGGTCAACCAGCAGCTGGTGATGGCTCAGCTGCTGAACCAGCAGTATGCAGTGAATAGACTCCTAGCCCAGCAGTCCTTAAACCAACAATACTTGAACCACCCTCCCCCTGTCAGTAGATCCATGAATAAGCCTTTAGAACAACAGGTTTCAACCAACACAGAGGTGTCTTCCGAGATCTACCAGTGGGTACGAGATGAACTGAAACGCGCAGGAATCTCCCAGGCAGTATTTGCACGTGTGGCTTTTAACAGAACTCAGGTTAGTTTCCTTATTATTATAAAATTTTCAGCTCCCTCTCATTTCTATTTGTGAGTCCAGTTTATGCTGTCTTGTCTTTCTCACCATGTGATCATGTTGCCTGTTGCTGGCGTCACTGACGTTTGATTTCGTCTTTCCCTCTCTTGTGTCTTTATCTGCGATGTGCAGATCGATCCTTATGCACGGGCCTTGAAAGGATAAATTAAATATAAAACGTATTTCACACTGACTCTACCCTGTGCTTTCGTAAAAAGAAATCATAAACTTAGCAGTAAAAACATCTTTGTCCTCTTGAGTAAATTCCTGTGAAGATGTTGAGAGGGACAGGGGAAAATGGGAGATTGATATGTAAAAAGTCATGAGATAATCAGCCTGGAGCCCTAAGAAGATTGATTGTATTAAACGGTGAATGAAGGGTTTTTTGTTTGTTTGTTTCTTGTTTCACAGAGCAGAATGCTATATATTCTTTTTGACCAAGGCATACTAAAGCCCTAGAAGATCACTTAACTGTAATTAGGATGACATCGCATCGTCATCTTAACTTTCTTAACACTGTTCTTTGTTTTCTCTATTTATTTATTTGGCCTGACCCATACTTTCCCTCTCGTATTTAGGCTGTTTTGTTTGTTAGTTGATTATAAGAGTGAAAATCTGGTACAAAAATAATCTAGTAATAATTCCTTGTTGGTAGAATGTCCATACCTAAGAGAATCCCAGCTCTGATTTATTTTTGGCTTGCCTTAACTAGATTGGGAGTTAGGGGACCTGTCAAAGCCTCTAACTCAGTGTTTGTTTTTTTTTTTTTTTTTTTTTTGGTATGTCACTTGTTTTTACAAGAATGGTTGAAGAAAGTTACGTTTCAAGTTAAGATCATATGGTTTTGCCCAGTTCTGTATTTTTTTTTTTGGCTGAAAAATGCTTCATTATTGGCTAGTAATTATAATATGAAACCTGTATTCAGTTGGGGAATAATTCCTAAAAATATGAAATTAGTGGGTTGAAAGGAAAATCTATAGAAATCCTATAGATCCTTTCTTTTTTGGAAGTCGCTTTATTTTTGTGATTGTAGTGACTAGTAATATTTATCAGTACTAGGCAAACAGATAAATCTATACATCACAGCCTAGCAGTGCTTGTCGAATTACAAGCCCACTTACCAAGATGGCAGTGACGTGGACCAAATGACAGTGCATTCCAGCTGCATTTTCTTTAACTGAGCAGTTAGTGCTTTTTCCCAGCATCCAGGACGGTGTACTGTGTTAGATGAAGAATGCCCAGAGAGTCCTGACTGACCAGTGTTGCGGTTTTTCTTGCTTTGGATTATGTTGATACAGCCATTACTTTGAAGGGTTGACCATGTGTTCTGCCTGCGGTTGGTGCATAAACAAATTACATGAATATCTGTAGGATTTTTCATGGAAAAAAAATAACTTTCCCCTTATTTTTAATACTGTATTTGTTTCTGTAGGAAGATAGTTATTTCTGTAGTTAACATCAACAGCAATGACTTCATTTCTCTGAGAATGAAAATCTGGCATAACTAGATACGGAGAGCTCCTTAAATAACGACAGTCCATTTGGGGAAAATAAAAAATCACTACCAAGCATTCTTCTGAGTCCTGGCTTGTAAAAGGGATTGGTTTTAAACCTTGATGTTGACCATTGCTGCTTCTCAGTAGCTGCAATGCAATACTTGAAAGCTGTTTGAATTTACATGTCTATTTCAGTGTTCACTCTTTGAGAACAAGTATTTGCACACGCAAGCATGCATGTAAAAACCACACAGACACGCACACACATACACAGCTGCATTTATTTTAATGATTAAACATTCATAGGAATGCATGTAGTGTGTTTATTTCAAAGTCTATGCATTTCAATAAAAGCAGGTGCAGAGTGAGTATGGTGTGAGTGTGGAGTATGAAAATACACACGCTAATGCATATGCATAGGCAGAGAGCTCTGCAGAGTTCAACTGCACATCACACATTTGTGTGCACGGATTACAATGTGCCTTTCCAACTCCTACTTAAAAAAATTAATCTAAAATATGTACATACAAATGCAAAGTTATATGATATGATTGCATAAATATATTGTACCCTATAAACAGTATGTTAAGAAATTGAGAGATGGCAGTGTTATGAATTATTTTAGTCATTGATAGCTCTTTATACCTTTAAAATTCTGGATTTCATGTTTCAAATCTTAATTCAGGAGTTTCTTATGTGACTAGCGTTGCCTAATTAAAACATAACCTGCTCAAAACTTTCACATGTTACTATTTTTTGAAATCTACCTTTTCTGGAAATTTATGGTGAAATTTATGCAATGACTTGTTTTAAGGAATTTTCTTTCTGAATTGATGGGCATATGTTCTTTAATTGCTATTGAACACATCAGCTTTTAGCATATGTCATTCATTCAAAATGCCTACTTGATGTCTTTTTAATGGAAACCTATGGCGAAAAGTAATTGCCAGAGCTTCCAGATTTATATTTTTTCAATTTACCTCTCTGTAAAACTGCTATTTAAAGGTTATGGAACAAGAAAATACATTCTTTAATCCCCTTTGCTTTTTTTTTTTTTTTAAATAAAATCCAGAGTTTAATTCTGTTTCCACTCTGGCATTTTTCCCTTCTTCTCCCCCTTCCTCTGGTCTTTGGCACACTTTATTTTCCAGTAAAATAAAGAATGAAGATGGATTATTCAAAACTGATAACGGTAATGGTCCATCATGTAATGTTTTATTGAATTTGAGTTCTGTAAATTATGTGGTGGAGAGAAATTTGCCTGCTTAAGTCTAACAGAAATTGCTACTGTGTTCCTCTAATTCTTCACAGTGTAATTTAAGAAAAGTCCATTCTCCATATCACTATTGAATAAAAGGTAAAAAGGTGCTATTACCCCCACGTGACAGCTCTCGGTGGTGAGCTAAGCCAAAGACAGAGATAAATGGGGTTGACGTGGAACTTACCTGGCAGGAGGCCAGCCTAGAAGGGAGAGTTTGAAAATAGTCTTTCACCTTGACATGTGATTAAAAATTCACAAAACAGCAGAAGCAGGCCAACTTAAAGCATATTCTACCAATTTTCTTTTGAAGAGGGAGGTTTTATCAAATCATATTTTCTTGCTGAGGGCTTTGAAGTTCCATGAGGCTGATAAAAATCTATTTGAATCACTGATTATGTTCAAAGAGGAGACAAATGGAAGGCCAGACAGGCTTTTTGTTCAGATTGGCAGTCTCTTTTTGCTTATCTGCTGTTTTAAAGAATTCATAATTAGCTTTTGGGAGTACTGATAATATTTATTGAAGGATTCTTCTTTTACAATTACTAATGAATTTTACTTGTAATAACTTGTAAACTGTTTCTGGAGTATGAGGAATAAAGGTTTAGGAATTTGTCAGGAAATTCATTTTTTAATTGAAGGAAAATTATTCTCACTTAACCATGATGTAACAACAATGTGAATTTATTTTATGTTTTTATGTCTACACCGCGCATCTCATTAGTTTTAACATTTGAAGTCCTAAGGAAAGGCAGCTTCTCATTTCCAATAAAATTCATATTTATGAGGTGGTGGTAACTTCCTATGTGTCATACAAATTCTCAGATTTTTTTGAGAAGCAAAAATGACTGATGACTTTGCTAAATTCATTCAACAGGTTAATTGGGCAGCTGTTAGGCGTGCTATTGATGTTACGTTTTAACCCTGGTGTATCAGTGTATTTTATCACATAGCAAGTAGGACACATGTCTACCATGACATAACTGTTTTTCAGCGTGAGAAACAGTTTGTGATAAGAGATCTCTCCCACTGCCCACCATGGAGAGTTATGACAAATTACCATAACCTGTACTTTCGTCTTTTGGAAACAGGAACCGAGCTGTGTACGTCTTGAACCCCCAAGTGCGGCCATGCAGTTAACGGCGTGAATGGAATTGAAACTTGTATTCTTTGGTTGTGGGAGCAATCATTTTGCACACAGAATCTCTCTTAAGTGTCATGATTTGTTTTGTTTTGTAATTAACACTAATCAAAACTTTTAAACAATTTTTTTTTCAAGCGTTTCCACAAGGGGGCACTCCCCTCATTGAAAGCTCTGGGCCAAGGGAAAAAAAAAATCCACAAAAACCCCAAAGGTTTGTAAAAGGCAAGAGACGGTCTACACTGGCTGCTTCAAGCTCTTGGAGGAGCCCCAGTGAGTGAGATGTCTCTTCAGCTGTCAGCATACTCCAGGCAGATCAACTGCCTTCGCATCCAATAGAAAAAATAGATGAAGTGGAAATAAGCTTTGTCCCAGCATCATTGGGATGCTCAAATGGGATGTCATGCCAATGTTGAAAGATGGCTGGAGAGCTTTCTACATTCTCCTCAGGCCTCCCGAAGGCTTCTCTCCACCTGTACATGGATGACTTCATGTCGCTTTACCGAGACTTAATATTACTAGACATTTTTCGTGTGTGTGTGTTTTGCTGTGTATCTCCTCCTCTGCTGCCTCAGGAAACATTTGATACAGAACAATATTTCATGATTCTCAAATGTTTCATTTCAAATTTCCAAGATATACTCTCAGTTATTCATAGGGTATCTTATACCTTCATCTGTTTTTTTTTTTTTTAACTTATTCTACAATTATTGTAATAGATCTCACGAAGTGTAACTTTACATTGAAGGCCCTCCTGGGTACTACAATCACTGACTCTATCCATGAGTTGCCTATCTTGGTCTGAGGTTTCTATTACCTAGCTGTAATTTTTTTTCCCTTTTTGGGTCGTATATTCAGTGATATACAGCAATAATAAGTGTACTCAAGGGAATTATAGCACTGTATATATACCAAGGGTTAGCATCTATTTCCATGCTGTCAATTCTCATATTACTTTGGCAAGCACATTTTTAAATATGACATTTGTTGGCACGGAGTGGAGAGCATTAGATCTATTTTAAGCTTTTTTGGGGGGATCAGTGTGATTTTGATTTCAGTATGTCCCATCAGGAACACAGTCACGTTGACTAGTTGGTCTTATATAAATTAAATAGCTGGATGGATGATTGAGTCCCTGTTGAACTGAATTTTAGTTGGATTGACAAGCTTTATCTTGGATAGACACAGTTATAGTAGTCCTTGTTATCATGAATGAAAGGATGTGACTTCATTCTTCAGTCACATTTCTTACGGTGAATCCAAAAGTTTAGGTTCAACTTCCATCCTTTGGTTGCAGTAGGACAAGCAAGAGACTTCCTTCAAATGGACTCTTAACCTCTTACTGTGTAGGTGGTTCTATCTTAATACTAGCTCGTAAGTCATTTTTGGAAAGAATGGAACTTTTAAACTGCTTGCACTCAGTTGTTATACTTAGACAAGATGATACATTATCCTTGGGAAATCGAAAACAAAACCAGGTTGGGCTTCTAGAAATCAATGAAAAACTTCAAATGTTGGGACTTTGGGCTCCATTGTTTTAACAAGACATTGAACTTCCTCTCCCTGAAATATACCCTATAGCCATTGCTATAGGGTTATTGGAAAGCAACTTTGCAAATTTAAATAGAAACCTTGCCAAAATTTATTTTGAGGTATGTTAAAGGAAGCTGTTACCCAGCTAAGTGAAGAAGGCATATTTATCTTGGCATTCCAAAGCATTATTTCATAGATTATTTCAAAGATGACTTAGTCCCTATAAAATAGAAAATTTTTTCAGATACTTCTATTTCATATTATAGCACATTGGGAAAAACCACCTGCTTTTGAAAGCACTCTGCTAAATGTTAAAATAGTGGAAAATTTAATGCTGTATTTTTTAGGGAAGAAAGGCACATCAAAGGAGTCGTTTAATGGGTTTATACATTTCTTCTATCACTACTAATGTTTTTATTCCCCAAGAAATTTTATAATTGCAGAATTTAATGATATTTATTCCTTGACATGCTGTGATGGATTTTTGCAATGTGGAAGAGTGGTTATATATTTAGGATTTTATGCGGTTTTAGGTTCAAAATTTCATCCTGATATTCAGTGAAATAGTAAAGCAAGAGTATATTTTGAAATATTTGGGGTGGTCTGTGTGGTTACCTTTAAATGCAAAAATTGAAGGAATCACCTGGTGTCATTTAATGCATAATTTGAAGATCAAAACATAATTTAAATATTGACTGTGAAAATAGAACATAAATCCGAAGCGATGCTTTAATAAAATGATTTTTTAAATATTTTTTCTTTATTTGCTGCAATTTGTTAATGATTTATTTTTTCATACTTTGTGTGAAAGTTCTGCTTACTCTCTGGTAATGACCGTCTTTACAGATGAGGCTATTCACCTTCCACCGCCTTTGTCTAGGCAGCCTATGAACTGTACAGCTCAGTGCTGCTGTTTTATTGAGGGTTTCATTTATTCTGAACTTCCCCAGATCCCCTGTGAAAGAATTCATGGCAAGTTAAGCTACTCAAAGGAAGGAGACCAATTAAGCAGTTTATCTTATATGTAAAGCAGATGCTTAATAAAATGAAGAATACAATTGTGGCTCTCTCCTCCGCCGCTTCAACTGTAACTATATTTTGATGCAGGATTAATGCCTCTGGCTGTTCGTTTTCTAAAAAGTGAAGAACAACAAGGGAAGGTCCACTGTTGGCCAGGCCAGGCCTGGGCACAAGCTCACCCACTCTGTGCTTTTCCTCCCCTGCAGGGCTTGCTTTCAGAAATCCTCCGGAAGGAAGAGGACCCCAAGACTGCATCCCAGTCTTTGCTGGTTAACCTTCGGGCTATGCAGAACTTCTTGCAGTTACCGGAAGCTGAAAGAGACCGAATTTACCAGGATGAAAGGGAAAGGAGCTTAAACGCAGCCTCTGCCATGGGTCCTGCCCCTCTGATAAGCACGCCACCCAGCCGTCCTCCGCAGGTGCAGTCTACTATACTTCCTAGTGGGGGGAGGAATTTCAACCAGATATTTGATAAACATATGTTTTTGTTGTTGTTTCTTTTTAAAATCAGGAGTCATCTGTGTAGATACTGGTCCCGAATCAGTAATTTTTGTAAAAACGTAGTAAGGTATTAAATGCAGGAAAGAACATAGCTTTTGGGCTGCTTTATACTGTGGGTGTGAAAATAGTCCCTAAATGAGATACTTGGGTCTATTGTGATTATTAAATAAAGACATTTTAAACTCAATAGGAAAAAATAAAAGGATAAAAAAATAAATATTTTGTCCCTACTAGTTTTGGAACCATCATTTGAATAGTAAATAAATAAAAATAAGTAATTCCATTTGTATTTATGGTTTCCAATACGGACTGCAGCTGGTACCAATTACATATCTCATTAGTAATCTTTCATAATTAAGTTTAATACAGTCCTGGAAGGCAGGTTTTAAATGGGGCTGATAAAGAATTCCTTTCATAGTCCCAGAAATGGGCACTCATTTGTTTCTCCAAATTTTCACACCTTATAGCAAGATAAAAAAGTCTCCTTCTGGATGTTAATGTGTTTCTGTAGTGTCCCTTTTTAAATGAAGTTTTAAAATAGTTTCATAACTATTGTGAAAATTCAGTAAATTTATTTTCAGTATGAACTAATGGCTAAGCGTGATAGTGGATTAAACTCATGCCACATGTATTTTCCAACATTTAGTAGGTGGTCTGCACAACTTTTCAAAATAGCTAAAACTGGGTGAAAGTTGAATATGGAATACAGGTCAGGTTTTGATCGCACAATATCATGATTAATACCCTTATGTTAATTTCTTTTGATTAATTCCATTAAGTTCTTTTCATTAATAGTAAAAATTGTCTCATGATCCCAAATATTGAAATCTTAAAAAAAACCGTGTTGAGCCCTGAAGAGGCTGCTCTAGATCCTTTATAAACAAGGAATAAACATAATAGCCAACTGCTTTTTGAAAGCATTAAACTGTTCATCATGTTCTAAAATTAATTTTTTCAAAAACGTCACAAAAGACAGTCTCCATTTTATCTAATGAGAGTGGATCAGGTCTTTATGGCTACAAGAACAAGACTATAAGTGATTAATTGCTGTAATTCAGAACCAAAAAAAAGTCGTTCAAGAGAGAATGGCATCTCTTTATGTGTATATACACGGTTATTGACTTTGATCTCTAAAGCTCTCTATAGAAAGTTTTCATGATAGGGAATGAAGAGGTCTTACATACAGAGAACTTTGTAAGGCCAAGTGATTTAATGCTGTTATACTGTTCAGCGTTAACACATACACATTATTAGAATAAGTACAGACATGGTCCGTAGTTGCCTTTGCTTCTTTTATCACTACGTAGGGGCATGTAGCTGAGTTACTTCCCATTTAATCTGCACGCTAGTAAACGAGTATCTTAAGACCAATATGAACTTCAATATGGAGCTTTTTTTTTTAATCTACCCTAATATTTGACTTAATGGTTCCATAATATAACTTTCATTATCTTATTTTTCAAAGATTTTGTTTTCCAAATACCTTTTTTGCTCTCCTTATTTAAAGTGCTTTCTTTAGCCAAAGGTATATTAACTCCTACTAAATTCTTTTCACATAGTGTTGGATAGTGTTCCTATAGGTAAGTGTTTTAAGATCTTGTCTGCTATGATAAGTTGAGTTAGAAGATAATATGTAGTTTACTTTACCTGAATTATTGGGTAACTGGTTCAGCTACCTTTTGCTGCACATACTTGTTCTCAAGATAAATTGAGACGAAGCCTTTAGCTGCAGCATCTGCTTACTGAAATATGAAGTATGTACAACTCTTTCAAAGGAAATGTTTCCTATTAATGCAGTTTTCCTATCTAACCAAATACCGAAATGATTATGTGATATGTGTGTAAGTAATTTTATTTTACTGCTGTAAAATAAATCTTAAATTGTCTTGTTTACTTCATAGGAGAATCCCTTTGCATTGCCTTATATTATTATAATAGGACTTACTTCCAATTAGATCACATTTTATCTTTTGACAATGGCCCATTAAATTAGATTTCAAGAGTTTTTCAATGTAGGTGTATTTTAGATTTAGAAAAATAGGCTTTAGAGTAATTGGCTCAGCCCTGTTCTGCATTAGTTGAAACCAGAACTCTAAACTGGAACCAGTATACTATATAAATGATTTTTTGATGTTGCTGGTTTTGCAGTTTTTAAAAATTACTAATTTTTATCTACCTGAAAAATAGAGGAGACATGGAGAAACCTCCTGTCCTCTGGGTCATTCTCCACATAGCCACACCAGAGAAGGCTGGGCCAGGCAAAGGCAGGGACCTGGAATTCTACATTGGAATGCAGGTCTCCCAAGCAGCATGGCAGTTGTTGGGTAAAATGCTAAACCCACAAAATGTACTTATTACAAATGATAAAATGGAAATTTAAAAAAAAATGGAGAAAATCATGATGCGGAGGTTTTAGCTTTGTGCTTTGCCACGGAGGAGTGTGTGAAGTCTTGCTGCGTTTCTTTTGCTGCTGAATGAAGAGATGGGGAACACTCTTGAGCAAGCCTTGTGCTTGGACGAGCCTGGCTTTCCTCCTAAGGGCTCACGTGCCTGCCGCGCAGAGGTGTCCCTTGGGCTCACGTGCCACCGTGCCAGCGTGCATGCTCTTCGTCCTCTGCCTCTGACAGTGGGCTCTGACCCAAACCTGTTTGCTGGTTGTGTGTTTTAACATCTTAGATGCTGTCATTGAAGAAGTAAGAACACCTAGCACTTTTTGCTGATTGACAATTTTCTGAACATCTTCTCATGTATTAATTTGTTGAATCCTCATCCCAGGTTTTTGCTGGGAGAAAAATAAGAGAGCAGATCTAAGTTTAATCAGTTTTTAAATCTGTTATTAAGTCTATTACTCTTTTCTCTACCTCAAGCTACCTCTTCAAAATAGAAGACTTATTTTAGAAATGGCATAGCAAAACTAGGAGAAATCTTCTATTTTCCGTAGAGGGAAATTCTGTTTGGCTGAGAAGAGGGAAATGTGGTCAAATGATGTCCTCATGGGATAAATCAAGTGTTTGACAGGTGATCCACCAAAGGAGGCTTTGCTGTGATTTTCTGAATTTATGGAGAAACTAGCCCTTTGAAACTTCTAAGAAAGTTTCTTATAAGAAACCATTCTCTTCAAAGTTCCCTGGTCTAAAAGATTTTTTTAAAGATTTATTTATCTGAAAGGCAGAATAATACAGACAGTTCTTCCATCTGCTGGTCCACTTCCAAACCAAGAACTTGCAATTTCACCCGAGTCTCGGGTGGGTGGCAGGGTCCCTCGCCTGGACCCCTTTCTGCTGCTTCTCCAGGAACGTTAGCGGGGAGCTGGAGTGAAAGCAAAGCAGGCACAACTCAAGCCAGCATTCTGATAATGGTGTGCCAGTGTCCCCAAAAAGTTTCCTATCTAAATATGATTTGCAGGTTTTTCTGTTGAGTTTATTAGAGAAATCCTAGTAATGATAAATTATGATCAATTACTGGTGGTTTGTTCAATGTGACAAACCAGTTTTAAGATCCGTTCTACCTCAGGTGCGTGCTTTCAGTTTCCATGTCTACTTTTGAATGTGCAACTTGTGTAATTAACTGATACATCTCAGGTTCCGTAAGAACAGTTTCAAAGGATATAATTACCAAATTCCACCTTTTACAAGAATTGTCTTTTCCTTCGTTTTTTGTATCTTTATATAATTCTCTAGTTTCTTCTAAAGTAGTATGTGTTATTTCATAATAGTGCTTTAGAGAATATGCAGAGATCAAATAAGGAAAATTGATGTGGCAGCTGCACCCTTCTGCCTCTTTGTAACATTTTCCTTGGTAGTATGAGACATAGATTCATGTTGATTTTGGGTTCAGGTACAGTCAGGAACTTAGTGTGCTTGGTACAAGTTTTATTTATTATAGATGCTGTGAACAGCATCGCTAAGATCTCACTTTATATGCTTGTAATATGCTTCCAATCAATTGTCATCTTTTACACGTAGATTTGGAAAATAATAAATATTGTTTGTAGAAAAAGATCAAACATTGGTATGATAGTGTTAATTGTAGAAATTTCTTAGAGTAGGGGCTACTTGCCATCCCCATTAAGCATGCCACAGAGGGTGCGTTTCATATACAGTACCAGGAAAGCATTTGTGATTTACATGCTTGCAAAAGCAAACTCAGGTAGGACTTTTACTATTAATTATTAAGAGTTTGGCTACTACAGATTAGACATTAGTTTAGCAAAGGGCTAAATCTAAAACTGGGCTGGCACATTTTTAGAAGAATATTTTCCAGAAGATCCATATAACATCATGAGCTCATTATAGCTCCAGTATTCCTAAGACAAAAACTAGCATCAGACAAACTTAAGTTCCTATCGGCCTTGCCCAAAGACAAATTCCTTAACATCTTTGTTTTCACAGTTCTCTCAGCTTTAATGTGGGGTGATGATAGACACAGAGCTGTGGTCGGTGGTAATATACACCAAACATAATGCCCAGCATACAATAAACAACTAATAAATGTCAGCTTTTATTATCATAGTTTTTAAAACTACATAAAACTTGAATTTTGCATATGTGAGAGCCTTGTACTTGCAGGCAGTTCCTCTTGCATCCAAGAGTAGCACATTTCTCAATGAAAACCAAAGTTCAGATTTCACTTGAACTTGAAAGTATGAGTTGTGAATTTAGCAATCTATGTAGAGCCAAAACGAAATGTTTATGGAAAAGTTTAGTTTTCTCCCCACTATCTTACTGAAATTTTTTTTGTTTCCTGTGCCCTTGCCCCACACGGGAGGTAAACAGTGGAAGCTCCAGTCTTAACTACTTCCCTGGCGCCGCTATAATAATGGAGTAGAACAGTCTACCTTGATAAAAGCTACTCGGAAAGCAACTGCCTTTATTTTACCTCCTGTGCTATTTGCAGAGAAGAGCTGAAGAGTAGTTTGTTTTGCCTGGAATGAACTACTTTATGAATTTTAATGTGTGATATAATATTAAAAGCTAAACCAGGATTAAAGAAGATTTTTTTTGGACTAAGCTAAAATAGTACTTAGTAGAGTGAGGTATAAAAGATTTTTGTTTCCATTTTTACCTGGGGAAAAATTCAGCTTTCATAGTTTTTGAAAAGCTGTCCAAGTCAGTTCCCCTTAAGCAATAGCTTCTGTTGAGGAAAAAAATGTGATTGAAGAATTCTAATAGCTTATCTATGATAAGATACACTATCTGAGCCAACAAGATGATAAAGAAGATCTTTTTAAAATATTTTGGAAATGAGTAATACAGCAAGATACTCTGTAACTTTGTATTTTTTAACTCTTTGCCACTTCTTGCTGCTAAAATTTGCTTTGCTTTTCTGTGTTTACCACTATTGTCTTGATTGTGTTGGCTCCTAGGAAACGTTTTGAACTTTTTTTTGTAATTTAGAATTCTATTGTTTTAGTTCAAGTAGTAATTGCTTCGAATAAAATATTTAGCAAATGAATTTTAGAAACAATCATAGGGTTTAATAATTGTGACCCACCTCAAAGATAAATTCTTAAGCATACATTTTTTTTTTTTCCCCCAAAGGAATGAAAATCGCTTTAAAGATAGACCAAAACCGACAAGTTTCCAAAACCTACTCTTTTTAGCAATTTCTAAGCACTTTTCCACCAAGGAACTGTTTCTTCCAGTGAAGTGGACTTTGTGCCCCCATTTCCATAACATTCAATTTTCAAAGTGATTCAAAAGGCTTTTCTTTCTCTTTCATTTAAGCGGTGAGAAAAATAGGCATTAAAGGAGACCCCCTGGCATGACCACATCCACCCCTCTTCCGCAAAGCAAGACCACCTCAGAGCAAAGTTTTGAATCTCACCAAAGCAACTTTATAGGCGATTTATGGAACAATGTGATGTTAACTCTTTTGGCTCCTAATGTGGTGTTTTTCACTCCTTCTTAGTGGCCCCTGGTTCCTATAGCTTAGTGAATGAATTCTGGAGATTTGTCCATCCCCATTTCTGGCTGATAGCTTAGCAGAGGAGGCCTGTCCCGGGTTGCCTCTTGGTCCTGCCTTCTTCATGCCTGAGAGCTGATCTCTTCACATCTGAATTCTTTCCTTGCTTGCAAGGTTTCCTCTCTGAGGTGGAGTGATCTGCCTACCTCCTCAGGAAAACAGAGATTTATTGTCTTGCCAACTGGCTAAATGCAACAGGGTTTGCACAGTACATCTTTAAAAACTCAATGATTCTTAAAGTACAAAAAAAAAAAAAAAAGGATTGTTTTAAGGTTTTAAGTAACTTTTTTTCCCTCTCTTCAATTCAGATATTTTGGGAACAGAAAGAAGCAAGCCTGAAAGACTTGCAGTGTGTGTGGAATTGTATCTGTGTCATTTAATGCTAAAACAATACTCAGCTGCACTAAACATTTTTGTTGTTTATACTTTATGTGAGAGAACACAATATAATGTGTCCCAACATGTGTGCTGTATGGATAGTAATTTTTCATTTATATTTTCCTTAAATTCTCCTGTAAAAATTAAAAGGCTACATTGTTCATACATGAATTTTCCAGGCTGGCTCATACAACTAGACAATAAAAATTAGAGTTTAAGCATTAATAATTGAATGAATACATTTTGAGTTTCCCCCCCAAACCTGTGTACCATTTTAACTGCTTAACATTAACATCAAAGTCATTATTGCTAAATTTTCTGTTAAGATTATGTGTCTTGAATATGTTTGGAGAGTCACTGGTTATACATTTTCTGTAGCTTACAGGGATGTTCTGTTAAATATTGTGAAATATTTCCTTATTGTCTGGTCCCACAAGTCAAAAGGAAGTTGTTATACAGGGGTGCCAGGAAAAGATGAAATAATTATACAGAACAGCTTGGACATGCAACCAGCCTTTATGATAATTAAGCAAGGCACTCTACCTGTTTCATGGATGGGTAGAAGATTTAAATATGCAGTTCTGCAAATGGCTTTGTTATGGAAGATTTTTAAAATGAAACATAAGAGGGAAAGGCATAAAAAAAGAATCTAAAATTAAAAAGGCCATAGTATATAATAGCTATTAGTGATGCAGTTGTCTATTAGGCATCATGCACCCAGAGAAGATACAGCACCGCGCATTATGATTTTAATTGTGAATTTCCTTTGTTAGCATTGCAATGGAAGGTAATTGGGAGACAATTAGTTTAGGGTTTTCAAGTCTTTGAAACTATTTCGTTTTCCAGAAAACTTATTTTATGGCATGATAATTCCTGGTTGTCAGCTGGCAGTGGCTGTCATATTACAGATGCAATCACCTGTGACAATGTGACTTCCTTAACGTAAGCAGTCTGATCTCAGAGTAATAACTAATGTTGAATGACTTCACTGTTGACCACCTTGGTCATAAAAGGAGCAACAGTGTCCAGTTTGGATGCTGAGCCTGAAAAGCTTCAAAACAATTTTGCCAATGAAAAATGACAGCCATGTTCAAAATGTTTGTAGGTGAAAACAGCTACTATTTCTACGGAGAGGAATGGGAAGCCAGAGAACAATACCATGAACATTAATGCTTCCATTTATGATGAGATTCAGCAGGAAATGAAGCGTGCTAAAGTGTCCCAAGCACTGTTTGCAAAGGTTGCAGCAACAAAGAGCCAGGTAAGAGCCTCTGCTAGGCTTGAGGGTGTTCATCTGTGATGCCTGTAGAACTTGCGTTGAAAGTGATGTCTGTTTTCAGCATGAATTTGCATCACTGTGCGGTTAAAATTTCTAGGATTCTGTAGAGCACTAGGTTGAAGCAATGATCAGATTCAGATTATAGATGTTCGCTTTTTCCTCCAGCAGATACACCCCAAATCAAGGATTTTTTTTTTTTTTTTTGGTAAATCCCTAAGTTGGTTAATAGTTGTTTTCGGAAGAACATTCTAAATCATGGAAAGTTTCTCAGTATAGTCTACTGTGGTAGAATAAACATCTTGAATTACTATTGTTCATTATCACTTAGATGACTTTGATTTCCATCCTAAAATACTACAAACATTACAATGTTTCTTCCAGCTTGGCTACCTACAACTATTTAGTGCACCTGTTAAAGCAAACTGATACGTACAGGAACAGATATTTTGACCCGTCAATGATTTTCATTTATACATGTATAAAAGTCACACTAATTGAGTCACAAGTAGGAAACTTGTCCACCTGCTGAAATACAGGTGAATATTCGTGAACTGGAAAAGTTGAAGATCTCTGCTAAACAAGATTAAAAAAGGATCAGTAGTGCAGCTTTTTATCAGTGTAATTCTGGTAAAGCAGTCGTTTCTACTCATCAAAAATAGATTCATCCAAATGAACAAACTGACCATTTTCTCTAGTTTTCTTCCACTGTGCAACAGGACTTGCTAACACTCTCAAGGTAAGATTTCAAAGGTGTGCAAGGGCTCCAGGTAGGATTCTCACCTTGAAACTGCATCATGGTCTATGTCCATGATCATTAATGATCCCTCTTTTGTGAAATAGCAGACTCTTATCAACCTCTGATACAATGGGCAACCTTGGGAGTATAAATACTTTTTGGTTTCTCAAACTCTTACTCTGTGGACATTAATAGTGGGTCTTGATGGGGGCTTTGCTTTAGAAAAATATTGTTCTTGTTTAAGTTATAGGTTGGATGAAATACTTAAGGGATATCTTGGAAATGTTATATAAAAATAATTAAACTCAAGCTGTGGAGAGTAAAAATTATAGCTTTATAGGCCACATGCCTGCCTACCCTTCAATCACTGTCAAAGTGATAATTTCTACAATAACATGTTTCTTTTATTGTGAGATTCTAAACATCAAGTGCTGTTTAAACATTAAACTGAATTGTTTATGTTAGTGCTATGCTCAGCGTGTCATACATCGGGCCACCGTAATCTCCCATGGAATGTAAAATTCTGTCATGAATCATGGCTTGTATATCGGAAATTACTGTAATTTTGATTGGAAATTACAGGGCTCTTGAAATGTTTCTAATTATGATAGAATGTTAGAGCTGCTTCAAACCTGTGTGCTTCTTCAGATGTCTTCATTTACATGCCAAGACTGTGCATGAAGGAGAGATGTCCTCTTCTCCTCTCCCCACCCTCCCACCCCGTGTGTTCTTGTTTTGACTGTTTAGTCTAATTATGGTGAAGATCTCGTATTTAAGTAAATAATATCTCACCTTTCTTCCCAATCCTGCATCTTTTTTTCCTAACCTGTCCAATTATCAAGAATAACAGACTGCATTCCTATAAGGGCCAATCCTTTTCCCCAAATCCTGAAAATGGAGAAATTTAGACATGCATTTATGATAAGGGTCGGCGTTGAAACGCAATTCCTATTAAAACTTCACTGATTGCGCTTTGGTTGCTTGTTACTGTCAGCCAGTTCTGTGTAGCTGCCACACGCCAGCGCTCTTTGTGAATGCAGTGTAGCACTGTGTCTTTAACAGCCGCTGTGTTGCCTTTGACTGTTCCTAGGTAGTACCCCAGACGGTCCCCATCTCAGTTGGGCTACTAGTTTGGGAATTGTTTAGGAAGTAGCAGTAATTAGCTAATAATGCAGTCCAAGGATAATTCTGGAAATTTTTAAACATTCTTGTTCATTGTATCCTGTGTAGCTTTTAACCTAATTTCCTCATTTTGGTTGAGACAAAATTCAGGTGGCTTGTTGTGTGTAGACTGTGGGATAGAGCAAACTTTAATTCCCTTTAATATTATTCCTAACTTCTATTTTATTTTTGACCTTCTGGCAGATTTTTTTTTGTAGTGTTGTCCTACTTGTTCAGTTAGATGTATGACTACCCTTTTTATGAAAATGTGCTAAGTATAAAGGTTGATAATTACTAAAAAACAAATGTTCAAAACCAAATGTGTATGTATATCACAACAGCAGATCTGACTTACTTAGGTTTTGTTTTTCTACCATGGTAGTATGAAAAAAAAGAAGCAAAAACTGGTAAATAAGGAAAAACATTCTCAAATTGGCCTTTTCTCCTGGTCACAATTCTGAAGCGGTTCTTTCTTGCCTCAGATATGCATGCCAGGGTGGGTCAGGATGAGGCAGTGCTCTCCCCAAGTTGAAGTGTAATAAAACTGGAAAACCCAGATCCACCGTCTCTCATCCACTCTCTCTCAGCTGCTCTGCCTCCATCTGCGCTGGTGCTTCTCCCTGGTTGTCTTGGCTATCATAATATGAATCACCTTTTTCATGCTGTTTCCTATCATGCATTTATTCTCTAGATTTAATTTAGTAACCCTGCGATATAACATTATATTCCTTATTTTACACATGAGGGTTATTCAATTAATAAACGTTAGCACCAACTCTAGATTCTCCACATCTCTTCTGCTATGTTAGTATCTCTTCAGAGTTCAAGGCAGTATCAGTCTTGTTCAAGGAAAGAAGGATGGGGGTATTGGACTAATTGATAGCAATAAGAGCTTTTCCTTCTTCATCGATGTATTTGTGACACTTAGGTTCTTGCAAACAGATTCCAAAGCCTTGGAATCCCAGCCTTCTCAAGCCTGATGCCAGTGGAGGTGGGTATCCATGACTTAGGAGTCAAAGCAGGCTAGCTGTGGCCCAGGCTTCGTCACTGGCATTATGATAAATGTATGTTTTTTCAACTTTTTGGGTCTAAGATTTTTTTTTAAACATGAGAAGTCACATGCTATAATGTATGCAGAAAGGCTTTAAAATGATGTGTCATGATTCAAAAATGGGTAAAATTTGATGGTGGCTAATGCAAAAGATTCAATCCTCCACATGGAATAAGAAGGATTAATTATATACTTGTAAGTTGCTAGAATTTTCCATTGTAAAAGGTAAAGGATGTTCTGTAAGGCTAATGCAAAAAGTATTTTCAACTTAAAAAATCAACTTGTAGTTTCCACCATTCTGCATGTATTATATTATTTCTTCTCTCCTTTCAATAATAGAAGTGAGCTTGTTTTTAACTAATAGAAATGTCTGAGTAAAACATGTAAGTAAAAACTGAAGTCAGGTTACTTGTTGTGCTTGGTTAGCCTAATGCAAACTTTAAAAAGATGATGTGCTTTAAACATAACGTGTATAGCTACAAATGAGTACCCTTTCTATTCTGAGTAGGCAAATAAGCAGTTTTTCCATGTGAATCATATTGGAATTTTATCAAACGTTTAGTCTGATAATATTGAAATAATTATGAGAGCAGAATTTGCCAATTTTGCTGTTTTAAAAAAATAGTTGATTTGGGTAATAACCATTACAGTATCAAGGTTCAGTTACTGCTCATTGGTTATAGTGTTTTCATATGGGAGATGGAAATGGAATTTTTTTCTTAATAGTGGCAGATGTTGGAATCTAATTTTATTCTGCAGCAAACCCCCGGAGAGCTTTGAGACTTAAGGTGTGTGTCCAGCAAGGGGACATTAGCAGCGCCGCAGGCCTTGCCACGTACAGCAAGTTGTTGGATTGTTTTGCACACTTGCAGAGGTGGGGCTCGGAGGCACAGCAGTGCAGTAAGAGAGTAAAGGACACTCACCTGGCAGCCCTGCGTCTTCACTGTGTTTAGAATATTAGTCTCCTGTGCCTTGCTGAACAGGATATTTCTTTTGGGTAAACTTGTTCACCATACTCTTTAGTATATCTTCCGCTAAGTCTCCACATGTCATAGAATCCTTCCGCCACTCTGGCTTCAGTTCATTGATGGGTTATTGTTTTGGCACTTAAAAAAAAAGAAGATTTCAAGTATGCAAAAATATTTAGTAGGAGATTAAATACATTTGCTTTCTCCACTTTTGTTGGAATTTAGGACCTGTAGGATGAAAGAGGAGATAAGGAGAAAGAAAACGAGCTTCAGTGCTCCTTGGTGAAAAACAAAAAAACCGTCATTCTAACCTTTGGAACTTCTCAGATAGTGTAGGTGTGATCTCGTCACACGTCAGATGGCCTAGAGTCTAATATTTCGTTGCTGGTAGTTGAAATCTGTAGTTGTAAGATCCAGGAATAAAGAAATCGTAAAACCACTGGTTTCTTATGTGTGTTCCAGCGGGCTCATGAAGGCATTTTTAAAAAATGTGTTAAAGCTGTTACACGTCATAGAATTTGCAGTTTGAAACCGTGCTGAATCACTCTTGAAATGCTCATGAGCAGACTTTGCTGCCACACGAATTCACCTGTGCAGCCTCCTATTTAAAGCTCCCGGGAGGCTCTGCAGATGTGACAGTCACGCTTCTGTCATTGCTGGTGCCATGTCCTTTGGGAGCAGCGTGTGAGAAGATGCACCCTGTGTCCTCAGAGCCCTTGGGTCTCTCAGGCAAATGACTTTTTTTTTTCAGCCAGAGTCTGAAAACTACCCCTGGGACAGATACGACTTTGATTTCTCTGGATCCTTAAGCCTTGGAGTGGAGGGGACAAGGGGAACTTGTGGCGAGAAAAAGGAGAGAAATAAGACACCCCATATCATACTCCCTACAACTCAGCAGCCTGTTAGTCTAACGAGTGCTTTTGGAGGCCCTATGTGCTTGTTCTTAAGAAAAATGCCATTCATGGTTGTGTTAAAGATGTCGATGTTCATAACCGCTTGCACAAATCTCTCGTGGCTAAACACTGGGGATTCATTCATGATCTTCCCAGTCAAATGCCCAAAAACC